TTGATGAGGTTACAGTTTTAAGTCATCTTGGTTAGAGATTCGTTTTTGCTGTTCGCTACTTAAAAAGTTATTCTTTCTTACTTATGGTCTGTCTAATTAAGTCTTGCAAATTGGTCCATCTTTTAGATTTTTCAGTGACTATGTATTGAGATTTAGAAATATTTAATGAAGGACTAATGATTAAAAAACACATTAATTTTGCCTTATTGTAATGCCATATAAAGTTTCTATCAGTTGTGCAGCCAGCACAACAGGAATTATTTTTTAGCATTTTTCACGCAAGTGAAGCTTTTTTAGGGTGGGTGTGAGGAAAGTGTCTCATGCTCCACACTTGCCTTGTACTGGCTTTTCGCACACCTGAAAAAACATGAAATATAATGTCTGCAGGCAGTCTTTTGCGTCAGCCATTAACTTGTTTCTTTCCAAATGTGCCCAAAATTGGTCACAATTAAAGAAAAATTTCAAATTTAATTTCGTAAAATATGAATACTTTAATATTTTACCATGATGTGAGGGAGTAGTTGAAGAGACATAATTGAAATTGCCACAATCGACGAAATGAGGATAACCTTATTATAGCAAATTAACACAAATTTTGTGAAAAACAATTTTCGAATAAGGAAATTAACGCGAAAGAGAGGGTAACATTTCAAAATAAAGGAAATTAAAGCAACATTTACAAAGCAACAAAACTTGTTGAGGCAACAGGATTAAAGTTAAACTTGACATCCAAAATGGATACTTTGTTCTTCAGGGGCATCCAGCGACTGTTTTCTGTTAAATATCTGTTCTGAGAAGCAAATGCTGCCTAGAATTTTCTATTACTTAAAGATGGTTGAAAATTTCTAGATGACTGTTCCATTCATGTACAGTTTTCAAGGCTTATCTAATTATTTCCACACGATTTTCTGAAGTTAAATTCTCTACATTTCACTGCCCAGGTTAGGCTTTTTTTCGTACAAAATGGAGACCTTAAATTTTCGCATACAAAAATGTAATGAAGAGAGAAATCAGAAAAATTCTCACTTTCGTAATATGTTAAATTGCATCTAAAAATTTTCTGCAAATAATACTGAAGCCCTTGTAATTTTGAAAAGACTCAAGTTCCCCTAGGATGACCGAACAGGTACAAATTTAAGAGCGCCGCTTAGAATGCATTTCTAGAGATCTTAAAGTATTTTGGATAGCCTAATAATTAATTAATTAAGCCTAATTTGTGTAGCCGTCGTTGAGTGCCCCAAGGCCTGGTTCGTGGCTCTTTCCTCGTTTCTCTCAGTGTCATTCTGCTTACAACTTAAGAAACTGTGAGGGAAGGCTGACCCTGTCCAAAACAAGCACAAAATGATTTGAAACGAAGCTTGTCTTTCAGCAGGGCCATGTTTCATGGAGTAACGTACCCAAAAGCTTAAAAAATGCTGCATCTGTTGAGCATTTTTAAGTGAAATATCAAGAAGGTAGCTGATATATTGGATTCCCACATGGCAATCATGTAAAGCAGTTGTAATTAGTTTTAAACTTAGTAAGCTTAACTGATGATTTTCCGTGTATAAAAAAAATTACATACATGCATACGTACAAAGGGTTTAAGGGTAGCCTTCATCCTTCATAACAGGCGCTTCATGAACCAAGCGAGGGGAACGCGGCATTTTACTCGAAGCGCAAAACGGATGCGAAGCGCAAGACGAGGGGAGAAGAAAAATAGAGCACCTTATTTTGTCCTCCCCGCTTCGCACTCATTTCGCGTTTCGTGCAAAATGCCGCGTTCCCCTCGCTTGGCTCATAAAGTGCCTGTTGTAAAGGCTAGTTTAAGGAAAGAAATCAGGCAACTTCAAGTTCTACACAATTTCTCTGTTACTAGCGGACCACCACCCTGAAAAAAAACACCTTTCTCTTAGGTGTCAAGACTGTCAGATGGTATTGAGAAATTGGAGTAAAATAATGGAAATTTTAAAACACTACACTTGGTTAACGGCACGGAAATTAACGTAACATAAATTAACGTGACTAAAATTAAGGTGAATTTTGAAGATTTGCGTTAATTTCATAAAGTGTTAATTTCCTATAATACGGTATCCATCTCAGTCTAAAGCAGAAACAGCCAATGCAATAAATGTTCTGTGCAGCTGTGGGAACCCATCAAGACACACAGGTAAACAGACAGATAAAATCATGATTCATCCAAAGTGAACATCGTCCTGCTTTCATTTCAAGGTGGATTGTCTTACTGACCCCAGGGGGGGTACTCCAGATTTCAACTGACGGATGATCAAAGGATTTATTTTTGATTCTGGTATTTTTTTGGGTAGGACAATTTGGCAACTATTTTTCTTTAAGTTGGGATATTTTTGGGTATTCAAAGCAATCTGAGGATTTGTGGTAGTGCTTGCGTATTCGATGGGATGGGACTTTTCGGGGTTAAGTTTTGATCCAGGGATTTTTGGGGGTTTTGTTGGAAGCCCTAGGGTTTTTTTTTTAATTTGATTTTTGCCCCCATTCGGTCATCCTGAGTACCCCCCTGGGTGTCTGACTATGATTATCTGGGTGGGAATCCAACTTAAAAGGACAATACATCTCAAAAAATCATTCTTAAAACATTTCTTTAAATATAAAGGACTTAAAAGGGAGATTGAGTTACCGCGTATTTCGAATGAACATTGCAGAGGATTCAAGAGACTACAAACAGGACCACTACTTAGACTCAGTGTTAAACTTTTCATTTTTTAATAAATGACTTTAGTTTTCTATCACTGGTTAACAAGGAACATTTATGTAAGCATAGCCATACAGTCAACTCTCGCCTTGTGGACACCCTGCTATAACAGACGCCCCGATAACAGGGACAACAGCTAAATCCCAGGAAAAATATATTACAGACATTTGACTGAAATAAACTCCCACTATTACGGACTCTTGCTAATGAAGACATTAACTCGAGGTCTCTAGAGTGTCTGCTATACAGAGAGTTGACTGTATCCTGCAGAACATGCGCTATTATTTTGTGTTTTTTTTTTTCTGGTTAACAAAGCACCAAACAGGCATGGAGCATGAGATGTGTGATGGTGGAAGACAGAAAATTATATTATTCTGTGTCTCCCCCTTTGCGCAAGTTTCACACGCCTCAACTGCTTTGCGCTTGCTATCAATTGCCAAAAAAATGCAAAAATATAATGCCTGTTCTGCAGGCTAGCATAGCTAATAAAGCAGGAGCATAATATATTCAAAAGTTTAATAATTTCCAAGAGAGCTGTAATTCCCAGCTTTTTCCAGTAGAAAAATAAAGAGCTTTAATAACCATGAGCATTAAACATATTTATCATTATGTACAGGTAACTTTCGAGTAAATAATATGAATAATATTACAACATAAACAACGAAAACAAGTTCCCGACCAGCGGTAACTATATTGGAACAAAACCAATACCTTTTTAAAGAGCAGAATATTACCAAAATTAGTAATTTTAGCAGTTTTGTACAGTTAAGCTTACGAAGCCAATCATTAATAATAATATATTACAGTGGAACCCCGCCTTACGACCACCTACGGTTACCTCGTCATTATGGCCATGACAAATTTTTTTGGCCCATTGGTGACCATATTAACGGGCTTCCACTATATTATTACTATTATTAATGATTTAATTAGTTTACCGTATTTACCCGTGTATAATGCGCACTTTTTTTCCCTGAAATCGACCTTCAAATTTACGATGCGTATTATACACGGATTCCATTGTTTGGTCAAGATGATGCGTATTATACACAGATTCCATTAATGAACTCCCAGCTCTTGTTAATTAAATGGAAACATGGAAGTTTTAATTCTTGGCGTTTATCTTGAAATCTTTTTTTTTAGAATAACGTGGTCAAAAATTAGGGTGCGTATTATACACGGGCGCGCAAGGAAACAAAAAAAATTCTTGCCACAGGAGAAGGCATACAATCTTGGCATTTTTTAACAAACCATGCAGGTATGAGAAGTTGGTGTTCAAAAGAACAGATTTATGTTAAGTCAATGGAACTTAAAGAGAACATATACAAGCATTAATATATCATTTTGCTACCAATATTTTATATCTTTTTTCTCTGACATGAACAAATTTGAAGATTAATGCCTACATTTAAGGCAGCAATGTTATCTCAACCTTTTCTTAATGTAAGAAAGAGACTTAAATATTGGTTTTCGGCATAACATGCAAGTATAGATTGAAAACCTTCATCTCTCTTTTAACCGAGACTAGTCTCCATACATTTCCATAAAGAATTTTTTTTTCTCATAACCTTTTCTAAAGTAGGAAGGCTTGTCTTTTGATGATGTACGATATATTTGTTAGGAGAAAATTGACGTTGGTCACTCTTGGATTATGACAAAACAGTCATATTTTTTTAAATTTGATGGCTAAACTTTAAGGAATTTTAAACCAAGCCACCTGAGGAAGCTTGTACCTTTGCACACACCCTATAGAGTGTTTTCACTCATGTGGCCAGCATACCTGCAAATTTATTGTAACAAAAGAAAGCATTTGCATAAGAAAAGAGTTCAACTCCCAGGGGACTGGTTTAGGACACCAACATGGCCGCCGTTTCATTGTTTTGGGACACCAATATGGCCGCCGTGACGTCATGTGAAAACACTCTATTGGAAACAGGCTGGTGACATATGTACCCCCCCCTCCTCCCTCCCCAAAAATGATGTCCTTTTTAGGAATTTTACCAAAAGACTTGAATGCTATTTTTGGAACAGCTTTTGAGCCTTGTACATTTGTATGACTTTTCTTCATGACCAATGAAGACACATTTACTAAAAAATGATGAATACTTTATGCATCAGCCCGCATGGCAGGTGCCGCTTAATTTTTTTGGCTAGGTTTTAAATACCATGCGAGGGGAACATGCAAAGGGGAGAAGAATCCCCTCGTGCATGCCCGCATGTCCTAAAAGTTTCTTCCTTTGCCCTAACAAAACTGGCACCTGCTATGCAGGCTACCTACGTACAGCTGTACTTAGCTGGCATTTTTGAGAGCAATAGAGGAATAAATCAGACCCAGCACACCAGCCCCTACCCCAAATAATATTATAAACAACTCAAAAGCAATCTGATACCACTGTAACTTGTTCCATTTCAGTTGCAAATGGAAGAGACAAGGAAATATCAACGTTATGCACACTCCAAACACACTGCCAAATACACTCATAAGAAGTCCAAAGTGTGGCACAGCCAGTGCAATACCCAGGGTGGAAAAGACTAGAATAACTCTTGTCGACAGAACCCAGAGGTAGTTACATCGCTTTTTATTGTAGCAAAGAGGAAACTTTGGTAACAGTAGAATATCGAGAGTACCACTAACAACGAACATGTTTAAGGGATAAGAAAAGTAAACATTTATCACAACTAACAGTGACGCTACTTTACTCAGTATGGAAGCATGTGCCACGCTTAGATTTAAAAGAACAATTGACTGGGTTTTGCTTCCAAATGTGAGACAGCACAACAGTCCGACCAAAAATTTCAAAACCGTGACCAATGAAAACCCCCAATGGGAAACCTTTTTGTACTTTTTTGGTTCTTGCATGGAAACCTCTATTCCAGGAAACACTGTATGGCCACAGTAGGAAAACAGAATAATACCTAAGCTAATTGGAAATGTATTTAAATCAAAAGATGGAATATTCGCCCATTCCCAAGTGTTGTAATCACCCATTGAAAAACCTAACAGGACAAAGACTATAATAAAAACTGCTATAACTGCCAGCATACTTAACCAGGCTAGGACAGACAGTGTCTTGATAAAGACAGTCAGAAGCAGGGCCACTGTACACATCAGACACCATTCTTGAAGGGACAGCTCCACTTGGCTGCTTAACAAGTCTTTCATGCTTTTGCCGAGCACCATCACAAACAGGACACAACTGGAGTAAGAAAGACTCACTGTTATGAAATCCACAAGCCTGCCTCCGATTGGTCCCCACGCGTCCGCTCCAATTTCCGCATAGCTCGCTCTTACTCGTTTGCGAAGTCGGCTTTTCGGGGAGATTTCGTAAAGACAGTCAATCAACAGAACCGAGGTCACGCCAGCAAAGAATCCAATGACAAGGATGAGGAATAAAGCAGCGAAGCCTCCCAAAGCGATCGCGTAAGGAAACGCTATCACACTACTACTAGCAATAGTCATATTTATGAGGTTCCAAAGGGCAAGTAAAGTCGGTGCTTGGCCATCNGTCCCCATGCGTCCGCTCCAATTTCCGCATAGCTCGCTCTTACTCGTTTGCGAAGTCGGCTTTTCGGGGAGATTTCGTAAAGACAGTCAATCAACAGAACCGAGGTCACGCCAGCGAAGAATCCGATGACAAGGATGAGGAATAAAGCAGCGAAGCCTCCCAAAGCGATCGCGTAAGGAAACGCTATCACACTACTACTAGCAATAGTCATATTTATGAGGTTCCAAAGGGCAAGTAAAGTCGGTGCTTGGCCATCTTTCGTCATTCTCTCCAATAAAGACACAGTACCGCTCTTCGACTTCGAGCTTTCGCGATCGTGTATTGACAATGCTACCGATCGCTGATTAAGAGAACCATTCAAAGACCGCGTAATGGACACCATGCTAGAATACAGCGAAAACTGGAAGGAGGGAATGAATAAAGAGGCTTGGCTTGTCGTGAAAGTAGTCGTGAAGCTTTTACTGTTGTGCGTGTAGAAGCTTGAACCACTTTTCTCGAAGCCCATCTCGGACGAGCGAAGCAAAGGAGTTCCTTCGTTTGGCGGTTCAATGTCATATTCATCCTCGACCGCTTCCAGGAGCTGCTCTTCCTCGATCTGTTCTGTCGTCAACGGCATGTCTTCGACGATTGTCACTAGTTCAGGTTCTTTGAGTACTGTACTGCAGCTAACACTCGCGGGCGAGGATGCCGTCGAAAGCAGATTCATTTCTGTGCTATCTTTGTCCATGGCAAATTCTTGGGTCCAGTTTTCGATTATGTCTTCTCTTCTAGACAATCCAGAAGCAATCTAGCAAAAGTAAAGGGCGGCAAAGACTGTCCTTTGCCTGTGAAGTTTCGACTAAGTGAATAGTACATTGCGCCGGTTGTCCACACGTTAACCACGTCAGACTGGTTTTCCTAGTTTAGAAGTCGCGTAATTCAAGTTTCGCGCCTGCTTGATCGCACGATGACTTTGCCAAAAAATGAATAATTTTGCCCCAAAAGTAATAACTATTGCCTTATTCACGGGCCACGAAGGCAGAAGTTAACAATAAAAATCTCCAGGTGGTAATGTTTCAATTGTTCGGGAACTTTCACGTAGTTGTTCATAAGTTTGGAATTGTAGCGTTCTTGTGGCTTGTCACGCAACGGTAAAAACACGTGCGTGTGGAGGGGAAACTCCTGAAGTCACGCACGTAAAAACAATAAAACTTTTTAAACACTGATGGCAAATTGATTGCATTATGATAAGGAATGTGTAAAGGACAAAACAGAATCTTTCTTAATTTTTAAATTAAAGCAGGTAGCATAACTAAAATACACTTGCTCCGTGCTATCAACCGGAAATTATTGCGAAACCTCTTTCTTTCCCAAGCCTCTTGCCTAAGACGACCGCGGAACTTCGCGGGAAAACAACACGAAAATATGGATCACTTGCCCCAGAAAACGCATCAAGAGATATTATACTGTAAGAAAAAACTAAAACCTTTTAGATTCAAAATTTTATTCAAAAATCAACGTCATTCACCGATTTCAGTTTAGTGGCCAAGCGTGCGTCAAAATGTGACCAACACTTCTGCAAATTATTTCCGCTCTCGTCAGTAAAGTTTAGTCTTCCTGTTTTTGAATTTTTGGCTGAAAAGATGGAAGAAGACTTAAACCTGCGGAACTTGAACTTGAAACTAACTTTAAGAGGGAAGAACCTGTTGGACAGCGGTGAAGTGTTTAGTTGTTTGATTGCCCAACTGGTCAAACTTGTTACCAGGCTTTTCCCTTGTGAATTGGGAGAAAGAGCCCGTTGTTGTAAATAAACAACTTTTCAAAAGAAATAATGAACATGAAACTAGCCTTAAAGGAACTAACGGTGAATCGCAAACAACTTTGCGTGCGCTGGGCCCACCGAACACAAGAGCATTCTTCGTTTGTGAGTGATCCTCGTTGAACTCTAGGTTGTACTTGACCATTGATATTATATTTTGAAAGTTTTGTCAGGAGCCGTTATAGCTTTGCAGCTCTAAATTTATAGCCTGTGTGATTAGGCTATCTATTGGGGATTTGGCGATGGGAAGGCGAAAAAGCGAGAGAACGGAATGAATGTTATGAAAACATGTTATAAAAAACAATATACGTTGTTTTAAATCAGCTTTGCAGTAGTCTTTGGACTTCTTGTTCTTGACATTTCAGACTAGCTTCGGGGTAGAAATTGCAGATTTTGGTCTCACTTCGAATGTTCAGTAGAGTACAGATAGCCAGTATTTTTACCCATGAAAGTATCTTAGGGTTGTGCGTAAATAAATGACCTAGAAAAAGAACAAATGACGTCATACTGTGTTGGAGTGTGGTCTACTGACTTTAGAGAACCCTTAGAGGTGTAATTCAATTTTTCCGAAGAGCATACTCTTCATTTTCATATGAGAGTCCCCACCCTCTTTTTCGGAAGTAGGGGATGGGTACTTTCATGGTTACTTGACCAATTAAAGTGTACAGCTATTTCTAGAAAGGCTGTCGGAAAAAATGTGCTCCCGACAATCCCGAAAGGTAATATGAGATACGATCATTTCACTGTTCCTGACACTGTAGCTAGCTGTCGAAACTACTTTTGTTACTTTTCTTTAGCACTAGCAAAGATACGTCCATGGCCTCTCTCGTGCCATTTTTTCAAATATCATTGAAGAACTAGTTAACTCAAAACCACCCACAATACCTTTCGGGATTGTCGCGTGCACTTTTTCCGATAACCTTTCTCGAAATAGCTGTATACAAATTGACACTGAGCCTGAGTGATCATGATCGAGCATATGTAGCCACAGCGCGAAAAACATAGAGTACATGACGCACGTCAGAAGATAATAAAGGTCTCTCTTGTAAAGGTATGGTGTATCCTTCCGGCCATGCCCCGCGCGTCGAGAAGGACCAACAAAAAAACTTCCTGGGTGCCGGGTTTCGTTTTGCTTCGTAAAGTAATGGATACAACCGCGCGAAACCTGAACCGAGGCCAAACGAGAAAACGGCGGGGATGAGGGGGGGAGGGTAACTGATGACTGGCCAATTTGATTTGAAATCATTGTATCAATATGATCGTAATATGATTAGGGCGTTGAACAGGACAACAAATCCTATCGGGAGAACTTCCGCAATTCCACATCATAATTGATTGCCTGCGTACTTAATTGATTGCTCATGTCATCATGACATCACAGAGCCAATTAATCAACTCTTGCCTGATCAATACACAACATTGCTTATTCTAAATGCGCGATTTTGTGCTATTTTGAGATGATATCGAGGAAGCTAAGCGTTTTGCTTATTTTGGTTGTTTTAACGTCTCTCACACAAGCGAAAGATGATGAATGCCCTCTGGAGTGTGACTGCAGTGCCGACTTTTCTGTGGTCAAATGCCGGAAAATGGAGAAGTTTCCAGTGTTCAGCTTCGCCCAAAAGGTCAAAACACTGTAAGTGTTTCGACAGCGTGGTCCACTTTTTAGCGCCTTTTGCTGAGTCACAATAAAAGTGAAAAACTATGGTCGATGAAAATCTTCAATGGAGGACAGAAGAACTTGGGACTGTGTGAAGAAGCCCTTTTAAGCAACAGTACCGTAGGATTCTGCTCCTAAGGACAATTTTTTGTTCGGCTTTGGGTTCATCCCGTCGTCCCCCCCCACCCCCCACTTCCCCTAGCAATGTTGTGGCAAAAAAAAGCACTCAGTTTCACCCATTTTGCTCCAGATTCAACTTTGTTTGGGGTGGGAGGGGAGGGGTCGCTAGTTTTAGTAATATCACTGGAAAGGTCCCAACACTTTTGACCTCCATTGTTGCAAAAATGTTCTGGATGTCTTTTTACCGACCCAATCCATGGAGAAAACCATAAAACTAGCTGGAATGAAATTGTAGCTTACCAAAGCAAAATGCGAAAACAAAGTCAAATGCCGCATAACTTCACTAAGTTTACCATTTTCTTTTATTGCTTAAAGCTCAAAACTGTTGCGCTAAACGAACATTATGTTTCAAAGGGTAATTTTTTTAACCAATAGCTTTCCGCTGTTATCAGGGATTTGACTTATGGAAACATCAGGACCATAAATAAAAAGGAGGTCAAGGCATACACACATCTGGAAAATTTGTAAGTACCTAAAATGAACCTTGAGCTCAGTGTACTCCTGAGGGACTGTTAAGCAACAAACCACCATCAGTCCACGGCTAAAACAACCGTAACAAAAAGTGAATTCGCCTTCTTATATTTTTTCTCAGACTGTAAAAAACCTAAACGAATTTTTTCCTTGGAGTTGGATATTTTGAGCGGCATCGAAGTTCATGATTAGAAAAAAATCCTCGTCGTATGTCCATGCCCTCCATAAAAGGTTTGAAATTTTACTTCTTACTTGTCTAGAGATCGAGGACGGTAAAAAAGGTGTGATGTACGTGAAGAGTCTTTTTTTTGATCATTTAAATTCAACTTTTGAAATTGCTGTCACAGTATTGCCCTTCAAATGCAATGAAATGTAAATCTAACCATCTTTTTCACAGAGCTCCTACTTTGCTCGCGCCCCGCAATTTTGCTTCGCGTTCGCGCTCGCTTGTTCAGGCTCGCTCTCGCCGACTCGCCGATTATCTAAAAAAACGAACAAAAACGTCTGTGTACATGCTAAACCGTCTTCCCCTTTTCTGTGGCAGGTTCATTAACCACAATCCCCTGGACTGTGACCATGCAACTACTTATACCCTGAAACACGTAGTGATAGAGATTATGAAGCTGAAGTCTTTCGATGGGCATAAGATAAAATGTCTAAATTTGAAAAGATGCCCTCATGGAATGGCAGGTAAGTAGGCTCGATTTTGAATGTAAATTGCCAGAAGCACACAAAAACTATGAGACGCAAATACAAAAGTGTCCACGACGGGTGGGGGAGGGGAATCTTGAAGGAGCTACCGAGAATTTACCCCCCTAATAAGTTTAAAAAGTCACAGAACCCGGGGAAGGGGTGTGGGGCCCTCTCAAATCAGCAGAGAAGTTTTGAAGGGCTGTTTAGTAGAGCCTTCTCGCCGTATTTTGTTTGCAATGTTAGATAAATCGTCGCAGGAATCGTTTTATTATTGCCTACATTCTCCCTTTTATTGTACCAGGATTCCGCATGTATTTAGGCACAGCCTGCGTAGCAATCCTTTCCGTGTAGTTTGGGAACAAGAAAAAGGAACGACGAGGAAAGGAATTTTTGGTTTTGACCGCGCGAAAAATGGAATGACGGCCAAAAAAAGAAAGAGGGGGCAAGGGGAAAAGGAAAGAAGGAAACCCTTCCTTTCTTCCCCACCCCTCTCTGCTCTTTTACTCCCGCCATTTTCGAACGGTCTTTGACTCTCGTTCCTTGTTCTTTGCTCTGAACCGCACGGAAATACTTGCTACCCTGTGGGCTAATTTAGCCACTAAAGCTTCCAGTTATCCCCGACCCCTGTGGGAGGGGAAATAAGAGAACAAAGGAACAATACGCAATATGGGGTATACTGCTGAAATATCTGAGACAAATGACGAAGAGGGTGATTTGATGAATGCGTATGGCATACAAATTCATTTTTAAACCCGTTGACTGTTTCGATTTCCGTGGTGTGCTAATTTTAAGCACTCAAAAAAGTTACCTCTAGTCTATTCCCCGATTTTTACAAGCCCCAGGCCCATGGAACAGATGGAAGCTTTTGAATTAATAATTCTAACTGCAAAAGCTAACTTCGAGTTATTTCACAGCAGCTAGTGGTAAAAAAGATCATGCCAGCAGTGTTACAAACGTTTCTATTCACGGTTTTATCGGCCACCAACCTGCTTACTTCAGGACACCCAGAATGGTGGCAGAGGTGTTGTTTTCAACCCTTCTTGGAATGATGGCGGTGGTTGGCTGGATGGTAGTGGTTTTTCTTTGCTGGGTGGCAGTGAATTTTGTGTAAGTGAATATGCAATGCTCATTAATTATTCATCAAGTTATGACCAATGCCTTAATCTTTTGTCAAATTCCCTAATATTCTGTTTACAAATCGACAAAAATATTCGAGGGTATACACTTTTATTTACCGTAGAAATGACGTCAAAATGTTCAAATCTCTATTGGAACCACGAGCTGTAGGCGAGTTGTTTTTCACTGCAAAGCAGCTTAACTCAGTTTGTGACTTGTGATGGGTTGAAGGAAATTTGAAGCATACTCTGATTGACTAATTTCTTCAAACGTATTTTGGACAAATTTGGACAGTCTGCACTGGTTTCCCCGCGAAATGACGTCTGTGAAACTAGCGCGGAAATTCCATACTGATGACGCGTCACTACTTAAATCGGTGTAATGCTTCTGATTGGTCGTGCCGCGTGGGAAATTGGGCTCCAGCCAATCAGAAGCGCTACCCAGACCTGGATAGGGCCCTTAAATAGGCCCCCGGATAGTGACGCGTCATCAGTATGGAATTTCTGCCCTCGTTTCTTTTCGCGGGGAGACTAGTGTTGGCTTCGCGAAATGTGGGCTGTTTTCTCAGTCTAACATTTGGATAAAACTTTTCTTTTTGCTCTGCACTTTTATCAGCTCTGCCAGGAAAAAACTTTCAGGCGCTAAAGATCCGGTAAGTCAAATGGAAGAGGGAACTGCGGCGGAAACTCAGTCACAAGACACAGCCCCTCAAGCGCTGATTGAAGGTTTGAAGAGACAGAGACGGAACTCACAAGGTTTTCCAGAAAATGCCATTGTTAACTCAGAGGATGATGACGTCATAGAGGAGGAAGATTATCTGAAGGAAAAAATGAAGAAACAGAGACGCCATTCTCAAGGCTATGCAACTGAGGCTGTATCCATTGACGAGGAATCCAATATGGTCGAAATCAACTTGAACGAGGCTCTTTACTCCTCGGGAAGTTAAATCTAAAAACCTAGTATGAACATATTTAATTCCCCGAGGAGTTGGTTTAAGTTAGGTTTTTACCTTTTTCCACCGTATCGATGCGTACTGGTAAATACTTTTGAAAAATGTATTTAAGAGTCTTTTATATTAATAATCACAGGAGTTCAGGCTTCAGGAGTAATCATTGATCGTTTATTGCGACAGTGCTGTTTCGTATGGTCCGAAATTGTGGGACCTGAATTGAGCGCTCTACGAAATATGTTCTACCCAGAATACAAGTAAGAGTCTTTTATACATATTTTACCAACATCTTCTTGACATTTTCAGCCAACGCAGAGACCGCGGAGACCATTTTAAAGTAGTAGGGCTAAAAAATCTGGCCAATACAAAGGTCAGTGTTTCCGGTGCTATTTATCTTACATTTGGGCGCCATATTATTTACAACCTCAATAAATATAACATAAACGTTCCCACTTGTTATACTAATGTCTACCTGGCCTCTAACCTGAGATCAGGCGTTTTTTTTTGTTTTTTGCTTCTTTGCTTCTTTGGCTAGACATAAAGGGATAATAGGGAGAGGGCATGATCTCAGGCTACCCGGCCTCTGACAACGACCTTTCTATATATTGTTTTATAGAATATCCGGATAAGACTGTACAGACCGGAAACGCAGAAAACAGTGCAAAATGTGCACGTTTTATGAGGACTTGAAATGTTTGAGAGTCTAGTTAGTACTCCCTCGCAGCCGTTTTTTGGATGTCACGCAACGCTCTTGCGTGACATTCAAAAAACAGTTGCGTTGGAGACTGGAGTCTAGTATGCTAAGATCCAGTCTAAGATCCAGTCCCCCCTTCACTGAAAGATATTGTTTATCGTGGATAAAAACATGTGTTTAAAGAGTTTCGTTAATCGTTTGTCTCATGAGTGTCACATAGATAAGAAATATATATTTTTTTCAAATACTGGTCTCGCTCGTTTCGCGGATTATATTGGAGTTGGCTGAGGACTATCCATAGCTGCCAATCTCCGGCGATCTAAAATCTGGAGACTCTCTATTTTGCACTACACCCCCCCATCCCC